AAATTTGTTAGTTGGGAGTGGCTTGAGATGACTTGGCATGGCAGTAGTTCAGAGGCCCTGTACTGGAACAAATGGTACCCCTGGAAAAACATGGTGGGATGAAAAGCTTCTTTATAAAATAAAAAAAATAAAAAAAAAATCACCTGTGTGCTGAACAAATGAGGCTTCTTTTTAATTCAGCACGACGATGCTTCCTGTGTTGCATGTGTCATTTCACTTTTTGGCACGAATCTTACCAAAGTCATACTTTTCCTTGGTGGAAAAGGTGGCATTTAGAAAGGTTAAGTTTAATAGTATAGTTGGAAACTAAGAGTCTTTCAGAGATCAGGATCCAACTACAAAAGGTTTGAAGATTTCTGATAAGAAAGAAGTTCTTGGACTTGCTCATGTCTTCAGTAGTTAGTTCCAAAAACTGGCTATCCTGAATAGATTTTACACCAATTTAAAATCAAGTTATTTCTCTTCTCTAAAACCTGGCACTGAAAAGGTCTGTACTAAATGCATTTTACTATTTGGATTGTGAGTGGGCATACTACATTTGATACACATTTATCTCCTAAACCACTGTATGGTTCAGATACGTGCATGTTATGTCCTCAGTTGCGTGTTGGATGGAGAGCTGGTAAATAGAACTGTGCATGTGTCACTAGTGACACACGCTCATCTGCAGAACTTGGTATTGCAGATTAGAAACTGATTGGGATGACAGAATAACTGAAAATATTTGAGCTTTTTTGGAAATGACTGGGAATCCTTGACTTGCTTTTGTATGCTCTTGACTTTGTGTCTTGTTTTGATCTGAATTTATCTTTGCTGTAGTCGCCAGAGGTATGTTCTTGGAGACACGGCAATGCAGAAGATGGCTCAGTCCCACGTATTCCTGAGTGGTATAGGTGGTCTTGGTGTGGAGATTGGTAAGTTAGGTGACATTTATTTAAGCAGACACAAGTGTGTGTAAACATACTGTCCCAGAATACTTGTAAATCTTATTTTAGATGTAATAATCATGTCTGAAGTATCCAAATGAATTTATATGTGCATGGTGCGTATGAGTAACATAGCAGATGCAGGAAAGATCCTAGTCTTTTCTCTAGTAAGCATTTTACTAGAACAACATTTCAAATTTTACTTTAAAATGTGCTTCCATGGGCTGGATCGCTTTACTCAAAATCTTGTGTCTTGGGTGAAGATTAAAGGTGGATAATCCAAGTTATTCCTTTAGGCCTCAGTATCAATGAATGTAATACAGGAATGGCTAGAACCTGAATTATCCCTGTGTAGGAAATGGGGCGGTGGGAGGTAAGAGAACAGATGCAATTTGGTGAAAAACTCATAACTGCCATGGTGCAAGAGACTCCTTAACAATTTCCCTTGCTGTTATAAGCAAGACATGTCTTGGTTCTTACCTGGGGTGTTTACGCTTTCAGTTGGCTTTAATGAACAGTCCTGGGGTTTTGCAGTTTATTGCCATTTGTGTGTCTGTAATCACACTTACGGGATGAACAGCTGACAAATGACAAATGCAGAGAGTTTTTTTAACCTTTCTCATGTTATTCTACTTTCAATGGTGATGTAGGCTGCTTGAGCCAAATGTAAAAGAGAACAAACCCTTAAGCTGTGAAGTTCTTAGCAATGACATACTGTTACTGTCCACCCACATAACTATTCACTTACTGATTTGCCAGAAATCTGTAACAGTCCCTCTCTCTTTCTGTTTGTGTTTTTTTTTTCAGCCAAGAATATAATTCTAGCTGGGGTAAAGGTATGTAATTCAGTTCTGTTGTTGGGTATTCTTGGGTGAGCAGGAGGAAAAGGGACAACGCTCCTAGCTAGCTAATCTTAAGTTTCTGAAACTCTTTCAGTAGAAGGATTGCAAAACGTTTGAGAACCTGGGGGCGAAAACTTGTAATAATCTGAATGTTCTAGTGGTATGGTCAGAGCCTCACGTTAATGTCCGCTGCACTCTGAAATACCTCATGTGATAATTTAGCCAGCTGCTTATCAGACGTTGAATCCTTTTGTACAAAGTGGCCTTTCCTAAATGGAGTGGTATAAACTCAAAAGCCAAACTATTCAAAATATGTTATCCTATTCTGTCATCCATCAGAATCCTTTTGTGTAGATGTTCGAATCGTTAGGTGTTTTAATCCAACAACTGCTTTTGTGTTGCTGGGATTAATTGTACTAGAGAGAGGCCTTTTAAAAATATTTCTTCCAATCAAAAAAACCCTTGTTTGTAATTTGGGGAGTCCATTAATTTACAGATCGCAATTGCCTCTTAATCGCAGTGTGGCAAAAATCATCCTCAGTATTTAAATGCTGTCATCATTGCAAACTGAGAGGAAAATGCTTAATGAAATGCATATTGCAGATGCATTTCTCTCTCAAACAGTAAGTTTTTTTGGAAAAGAAGTTGGAGGAGCTTGTTCTTACACATGGTACAACTAAGTCTTCTGCAGTGCTAGTCGTCCAGCATTTTATGTGGGGCTTAATCCATCCTTTTGGGTGCTATGACCACGTACACTTGTCCCAGTAAATGCTTTTTGCTGAACTTTCTTAGGCACTTACAGTTCATGACACCAAGCATTGCACGAAGTGGGATTTGGGGATCAACTTCTTCATCCATGAAGATGATATTACCAGTCAAAGGAACAGGTTGGTGAAGTCTTTGGGAGTAAGGGAGGACTGAACTTGACTAGGAGTAACAGTGTCAAAATAACAGTTCATTGTCCAAGAGCTGCTAATACATATCAAATACTTGTTAAAGCCTTTCTCGGGAGTTACCGGCTTTAAGTACAGTGCCCAGGTAGGTATTAAGGGAAGTCTAGTTTGGGACTGGAGTTCTGTCTGAGTCAAACATCTCACTTCTTACCATAGGGAGCTTGTAATGTACATTTAATAGTGGGGGGCCAGGGTGCACTTCTTCCTTGGGCTTTCTCGGCCACCTGTGTGAGAGTAGAAAACAGTCATGACACCAGACCATCAGAGAGTCCTGTTGTATATTGGACAGAGCTGTTTTCCTCAGACCTGCTGGGAATTTAAGTGTGAATAAACGAGATGGTGGTTGTTGCCAGGAGACATCCTGAAGGACTCTTGTAAGGCATGTGTGGTATGAAATTCTGTATTGAAAATACAATTTTGTAGATGCATAAAAAACTTGAAAGTTGGTGTTTTTCTAGGGCTGAGGCCACACTTCATCGTATAGCAGAACTCAATCCATATGTCCATGTAGCAGCATCAACTGTGCCTCTAGATGAAACCACAGATCTATCTTTTCTAAAGCAGTACCAGGTATGTCACTCTTAAAGCAGTTGTATGTGGTATTTTGCTCAGAGCAAACAACTTGAATTTTTTTATATAAGTAAATAAAATGAAATCAAACTTGAAGTACATTTTGAGATGATGTAAAGGAAGTAGATCTTGTATTTGGACTAACGAAATGGTCGTGTTTGGTGTTTTTACAAGGCTGAAACAGTAGGTTTGTGTTCCCAGCACTTTCTTGTGATGCTTCTTATGGAATTTACTATGATGATAAATAGCTAAGTGAGAATGGCATACAATTTTTTTGTTGTTGTTCGAAGGTGAAACTGTGACTTTTTTTGCAGCTACATAGCACAGATATTCTATGTATATTTTGTGTCCTGTATTCCAGGCAGTAGAAACTCAGGCTATATAGTTAGAAAGATCATTTATGTATGTATGTATCTAATGAAATGTAAGCTCCTCTGTGATGAAATGAGGATGTTTTCAGTTGTTCAGTCAGCTGTCTCCTGCCTGCGTGCATGGCTCAGCCTGAGTTGGGAACTTTTACTGTGTGGCTATTGGTTATACCCAAGCTCACCGAGTTTCTGAATGTCCCAGCTATAATAAGCCATGTATAACTGAATAGGACGCAGCACATATGCTTTGTAACCCAATGCTATCCTAAACTTTGAAAGAATGCTTGCAGAAATTGTATGTCTGCAATTTGATGAGCAGTAGCACTTGAAGCTTTTGCAAACTTCTTGGTGTGCACTGATGAGTATCATTTGTGTTTGTTTTGCTAACTTTAATCTTAAAATTCAAGATCTACATTTTCTCTGAGATTATCTGTAACTGTTTTCATAAGTATTCTAATTAGGTTTTGAGTTTCACAGCTGCCGGAAAAAAAACCACAAACAAACAAACAAAACCAAAACAACAAAAAAACCCACCAAACCAAACAAACCAACAAAAACTCAAACCAACCAAAGAAAAAAAAACCACCAGAAAAACACAAACCAAATAAAGAGTGAGAATTTGCTGTTCCTGCTCTTGCTCATCTTGTTTCCAGAACTTGTGGAGCAGTAACCCACCTGTTCTAATGTGTAATGAGAAAACTCACTCAAGACTCTGTTCTCTGTTGTGTAGGGGCAAGGAATCAGGACACCTGAGTAACTTGCTGTTAGTACTACTTTTTCCCTAGCCTGAAGATGTTGATTGCTTTCCATATCTTAGATTTATTTCTGTTCTTGTTCACAGTGTGTCATATTGACTGAAGTAAGTCTGTTGCTGCAGAAGAAGATTAATGACTTCTGTCATGCTCAGCAGCCACCTATTAAAGTAAGAGAAAAAATTAAACACATGAATAATCCATACAGTGAGTATTCTGGACCTCCAGCATGTTCTATCCAGAAATGGAGAAAGCTGGTTATGAGGTATATAGTCCTATGCAGATAGCATATTGAAGGAGCAGTGTGAGTTTTGGGAGTATGATGCTGCTACTCTGTATATGTCTGGTGTTATCTGGATACCGGCCCAGATAACCATAGCTTGGTTCTTTAAAAAAAAAAAAAAAAAAAATTCTGTGAAATACTTTTCACTATTAAATCATAATTGTTCTCAAAGAATGTGTTGAGACTGAATGTAACAGTAGCAGAAATTGGCAGTATTTTGCTGTTTATTGGTGTGATTCCTGTTTTTTGTGTAGGGGTTCAGAAATGCTCATGCAGGTTCAAAGTCTGTGATGAATGCTGTGCTATATGATCAGTGGCCTGGGTGCCTATGACAGGTTTCCACCGTAGAAGTTAAATCTGGTGGCCTTGGACAATGTGAGAGGTCATTCCTTTGGCTTGTGCTGTTTTAGGAATACTCATGATTTTTACTTTCTCTTGTAGTTCATCAGTGCAGATGTATATGGAATATGTTCACGGTTGTTTTGTGACTTTGGTGATGAATTTGAAGTGCTGGATACAACGGGAGAGGAGCCAAAGGAGATCTTCATTTCAAATATAACACAAGTAAGGGATAGAAGTCATTGTGCTGCTTTAGTTTTTTTTATGATGACTCGTTATTGGCTATATGACCAAGCGGAGTGTTTCACTTCAACAGCCAGCTAAGCAGTTGAAAACGGCAGTATAGAATGTTCTGGTGTCTTGATCAAAACCAGTCAGTGATAACGTACTAACATTGTAAAGCATACCAATGCCTCCTGCTCGTTACTGAGAATGCAACATCACAACATCGAGTCTTTTTTTTGAGAGCGAGAGGAAGAAATGAGGAGATGTAGAGAGAATAGGACATAGCCTTGGTGTGGGAATAGGTTAAGTTGTCTAAGGAAGCCTGAAATAGGCGTGAATAGCCCTTCTTTATGCAAAATTGCAGCACATATAAAGAAGGATTACTGGAATGATCAAGGGGATTGAGAGCCTCTTTTGAAAAGAAATTCAAGGGTTTGTTTTAACCTACCAAAGCAGAAGCAACAAGAGAAGGATATTATTGCTAATACTTGCAGCGCAGGATATTAGAGAGGATGTTCATTTGATCTTGTATTATTGTTTTGTAAATGGAAATGATTTTAGCTGCTTCTCTCAACTCTGGAAGTCCAGGCTATAACCTTGCTCATCCAGCAGCAAGTGTTTTGTCGCATCTCCAGTCTAGATGTAATAGTAACCAAACTAGAAGGGGTTGTACAATAAGTTGAGTTTGATCTGAATTAAAGCTTATGATGATTTGGGTAGCCTGTTCTTTGGTATCTTTAAAAGGGAATGGATGACTTGGTTGTTCTCATTAATTACATAAAGAGTACACAGTTATGTTTCCTGGCTTGTGCTGATTGCCTGCAATGTCAAGGAATGAATATATATATATCTATCTATATATATCCTGGATTCATAATCTGGTACTTGAATTTATTTGTGTCTTGCTTCCACTCTCTGAAGTGTAAAACTGACCAGAATTACAACTCAATACTGAAACCACCATCAAGTGACTGTTCTTGTCCTGTGGACAGGGTCAAGGTGGTATTCTGTCCCTAAATCAGAGAAGAATTTTCTCTGGTCAACTCATTTACCATTGTCCATGCCACAGAGAATGCAGTCCACTGTAATTTAGTTTTATGCTACATAACTGAAGTCTTTCTAATATTGGGAGCTCAGGAAGGGATGGCAGGAGATTTTACAGTCCAGGCTTGCTTGCAAATCCACTATGTTACAGCCTGAGCTGCACCACAAGATCTTGGTGAGCTGTCCTCAGGCTGCTGAGGGGTCTCTGGTTCATGGGACGTTGGCTTGACATCCTGTAGCAGGATGAGATGTTGTCTGAGATTCCTGCAAGTGTAAGCTTGTTTGTGATCTTCTTGAGGCTGTGGCTTTCCTATATTTAAGGATGTCCAGCTTTGTAAGCTTCCTCACTTTCAAGAATGAGTTTGGGGGGTCCTTTTTAAGGAGATCGGATGGAAAGGAAGCATGGAATAATCAGGACCTTTCACAAGACTTTATTTCTTAATGTCTTTGAAGATTTTTTTGTACATATAGTCTGTTTCTGGTTTGGAAAAAGAATGCTGAGAACTGTAAAAGGTAGAAATGAGAAAGGCTGTGTTATGAAAACACTCTTAAACTGAAAATAACAGGACTGAAAAAGTTATCATAGGTAACTCCCTTGTTATGGCAGCACTGAGGTGCTAAAAGTATAAGCTGCAGTTTCAGTAGGCAAAAAGCTATGTGTCTATGATAAAGTGTGACTTGTTTACACAAGGCACTTCCCTCCTTGCTAACTTTACCATTTTTGTTTTCAGTCAAATCCTGGTATTGTCACTTGCCTTGAAAATCATCCACACAGGCTTGAAACAGGACAGTTCTTAACCTTTCGGGAAGTTAATGGAATGTCATGCTTAAATGGATCCACACACCAAATAACAGGTAAACTGTTGCTGTCTTACTTGCAAGGTATTTATTTTTTGGCCTGTGTTAGCTCACTGTAGTGTTGTTTACGGTAGCCAGAGGAGTGCTGGGTTGTGCAGACCTCCAGTGAGCTTGCACAAAAAAATTGCTTTCTGGTGCAAAGGACTTTCTGGCGTTGTCTTGACTCCATTTTCATTTAGTAAAGTCTTTCCAAACTCATCTTGCTGCTTAAGGAACCATGGAAACTCTATGCTTGTGGAAACTAGTTGGCAGCCTCTGAAGTTACTGTCAGTTTGCTGATGAAACTTTTGGTTTTTGGAAGGTCCCCTAATGCCTGTGCTTCTGTCATGGTTTTGGACACACACTTTGTGTGTCACTGTTCGCCTTGTAGTTTTTTGGGTGACAATTTAAGTGAACAGGGATGCATTGACATTGCTTTGTTTCTAAGCATGCTTTTGAAGTGATTCTCATGATTTATGTTTACCCTGCTTTGGTCTGCATCATGTGTGTCTCAAGGCTTACTGCTTGGCTCATTTTGGATGATGGGGAATTGCCCAGTTCCAAGATCTTAATGCCTGTTTGTCTGGAGCAGAAGAGAGTGTGGGTGGGTGGGGGTTCGTTGATTGGTTTTAACTATTTTGTGGTCTGAGACAAAAACAGTACACTTGAAACATGGTTGAGTCTGTTTTCTCTGGACCCTTTTGTTTTGCTAGTGCTGATGCTGTGTTCAGTTCTTTCCTCTTAATCACAGCCCAGCTTTTGGGTTCAGCTTTCCATGAACTAACAATTCTTGTGTCTTCTTGCTTTATAAGAATGATGCTTCAGGTTGGATGAGAGGAAAGATGTGACTTGAATGCCCCAGCTGCCCTTTTTGATTGCCTGTTGTTCTAGTCGCGGGGCTAAAAATCCTACTCTGAGCAGTATACTGGACACTGCTGTGCACAGTCTAAATAAAACTGAGAGTGATTTCATTTTTGTTAACAGAGCTGTGGTCATCAGAATTCTTGTTAAATCTGCTGCCACTTTAAAAAGCTTATTTCATAACAGATCATGTGAAACTAATACTTTGGCCCAGAAACTGGCAGAGAGGGACAATCCTGTTAGGAGGATCAGCTGTTTTTATGCTTTCAAAGCAAGGTCACACACTACAAAATTACAGCATAAAAAGCATTGGCAAAACTCCACTTTATTGTATACAGAATTGTAGTATTCAACAACACTTCTAATTATCAGTTTATTCTCTTTTCAGTGGTGTCACCTTATTCCTTCAGCATTGGTGATACGTCAGATATGGAGCCGTACTTACATGGAGGCATAGCTGTTCAAGTGAAGACACCTAAGATGTTTTACTTTGTAAGTGTGTGCTTGACGTAACTGGGTTCTTGAGTGTTAATGGTCTGAGCACTGGAAGTTCAGCAGATACATGAGTTGGTTACTCGTAGTTTGGGTTTACACTAATTTTATACCATTTTACCAAACCATAAAGAATAGAAAATATTTCAAAGTTACCTGCCCGCGTAGAGGAAAAAAAAAAATGGATGGGCAGCCTATCCCTGTACTGCTGGCAACTCCATGAAGGTCTATGAATACGTGGTTTCCTGCTGGCCTTCTGAGAAGAAGAGACAGTTGGATGAGTTTGTATAAGAGGGGTTGCAAACTACATGGCGCTGTGTCCCTTCTGTGGGCCTGCAGAAAGTAGATCCTAACTACCCTCAAACATTCTTCTAAAGAGCATTGGAGTGAGGACCAGGTGCTTCTGATGTGAGAATGCACAGCTCAGTATGTGGTCTCTGTGAAGCAGTAGCTTCATGGTCTTCCTGAGCGGGGAAGTTCTACAAGCAAACAGCCAGTTGCCTACAAAATCTCTGGTAGCCAACCTCAGAGCAGTTTAAGAGATGGATCTTGCCCCTAGGATGTGAAACATCTCTCTGACAATTTTTGATTGACAAAACTTGCAGTAGATGATTATTTTCTATACCTCTTTTGAGGCGTTACTAATGGAAAGAATAATAGCACTAGGATGTGAAACATCTCTCTGACAATTTTTGATTGACAAAACTTGCAGTAGATGATTATTTTATACCTCTTTTGAGGCGTTACTAATGGTAAGAATAATAGCAATGCTAGTAAGAAAGGATATTTGGTTGTTTTTCTCTCCAGGAGGAGTATTGTTTTGTCAGGTAGCAGTGACTGTCGTGTCCATAAGTGGGTGTGGTGTTATGATGAATTCTGTTTTTCCAGGAACGGTTGGAGAAGCAGATAACAAATCCATTATGCCTTGTTGCGGATTTCAGCAAGCCTGAGGTAATTAGCATGTGGGGACTTGGGCATAAGTGCTTTAATGTTAAAACTACATGGAATGTAATCTGCAGCTTTATGTGTAGAACAATATAATTTTCTAACTCTATTCTGTAGTAGTTAAATATGAGTTTAAAGTGTGAAATAAGGGAGATATCAGTTTGTGTGGTCACACAGAATATGCAGTATGTTTTAGATCACTGTAGAGACTTGTTATCCATGATTTACACCAAATATATTGTAAACGCATAGCTCAGCCACTTCTGCTGTTTAAAATACCAGGTTTTGATAAGTCTGTAATTTATGGGAGTGTAAATTTTGCAAGTGACACAATGATTTTTCCTGTATTTAATGATGCGTGATGGATAAAAATCACACTGGCGTCAAACCTGGGATAATCACAAGAAGGTGATCACAGATTGGTTAGAAACTGGAGTTAACAGTGTAAGAATAATTTTTTTTTTCTTTGAAAAAATGATTCAGAGGAATTCTTAAAGTTTGAGAGGAAGCTAGCAGTATTTGCCTTTAACACATTTTTAATTATTATGGACATGCAAGGCATGTAAATCTTGGACTCATTAAAATCTTAAACTAAAAAATGTTGATCTAATGATTTTTTTGTTTCTTTGATAATGTAAGGTCTGACTTGCCTGTTCAGATTTTCTACTTTTGACCCTTAATGCTGGGCTTTGATATTGATGTTTGGCAAAATGCAATGCATTGTAATATGTAGTTAAAAGAAGATGACCACATTTTTCCAATTTCAGCACTACATTCTTTTGGAAACTCTTTAGTTGAACTTGGTTGAAGTGGGTGCTGAATGTGTGTGAAGGGTGTTGCTTCTGAGCTTACTACTGAGTAATCCTTCATAATCCCAGTTTGTAAAAACATTAGTGTAAGATATTTCAAATTAACTTTTTAATGCTATTTAAAGACTTTTTGGAGAGGTATGGTTAAGAGTCAAGGAAGTGAAATGGTAACAGAAGAGTTAGAATAATTGGTTTTGTTTCCTTCAGTTTTCTTGAGTTTCTAACTGATCAACAGCTATTGTTGTCTTCCCAGGCACCTTTGCAGATCCACATTGCCATGCTTGCCTTGAACCACTTCCAGGAGAGCTTTGGTCGTGGACCAAACATTGGGTAATGCACCTGTCTTGTGTTTGCTAAGCCTTGAATCAGGCAGATCTCTCCTTTTATTGTAATTACTGGTTTGATGTGCAGCAGGGTACCTTAATAGACGACATAGAAATGAAAAGTTGAAATCTAGATGAAAAATGTTACCTGATGCATGTCTGGGTTTGTAACAGGGCATTCCCAATATAGCGATGGCAGTTTCTGGGCCCAGGTAGACAGAAAATGCTTCTGAAGGAAGTCCTCCTCTGTTCCAATTTTGTCACATTGTGACATTAATATGCAAAAGTTGTTTCATTGATTCCTGAATTATCCTGTAGCTTATGGATTTAAAAAAAAAAAAAGTCTGAGGGATTTGGTTTTCATATTCAGTATTTTTTTTCCAGCTGTAGTTCTTGATGTGCATAATTTTGAGTTAAACAAGACAAAGCTGCTTACAAAGTATGAATCGCAAGACTGGACCTGCACGTGGGCTTCTCCACTGAGACTGGTGTTCTGGAGCTAACTGTAACATTTAGAAGTGCATCTTTAATGCTCACTGTTAAAGTCAATATAAATTTCCAAACTCTTCCTACTGTATCCAGGTGGTTTTTTTTCTCCCTTGATTGTGTTTCTAGAAGGGCTCCGGAACGTTTAAGTGATCATTATTGTTTCTACCCTGGTTTCTAGATGCCTTCAAGATGCTGAGGAAATGCTGAAAATAGCCATGTCTATAAGTGAAACACTGGAAAACAAAGTGAGTAAGGAATCATCATCATTATGGGTCATTTTTGATGCTCTCATTTACTTGCCTAAAGGTCATGCTTTAGTTGTTGGTCCTGGTTCTGGTCTTTGTATCCATCTTTAGATGGATCAGCTGGCTTTCTGAAGGCCATGTGAGGAAAGAGAATGGTGTTTCAGCACAGGTTCAACCAAACATTCTGTGGCTATGTGAATCCAGCTTTTAGATAAATGCATATTACAAGTACAGGGTATACAGTGGATCTGTCTTGGCTGGAAACCTTTTTGCTAGTCAGAGTGAAATAATTTTCTTTTACTGAAGAACAATAATCTAGGAAACTGTCAAGCACTGACTTTCTCGATTGAAGGGATAAATCTGTTGTTATTATGTCTTATTTTTCAGCCTCAGGTGAATGGAAATGTAGTGAAATGGCTGTCTAGAACTGCTCAGGGATTTCTAGCTCCTCTGGCTGCAGCCGTGGGCGGTGTTGCTAGCCAGGAAGTCTTGAAAGCGGTAACAGGAAAATTTTCTCCATTGCAGCAGTGGGTAAGGCTGTCTTTGGTTTTGGATCTTTATTTTGACAGTGCTATTACGAATGTATGGTGGTGTGTCAATGCTGTATAATCAAAATAGCCTGAACAACTTCTATAATGGGGCGGGGGGGAAGACAAACAACTTGAGACTGAATTTAGGAAAAAATATGCTTCTGTGTGTACAGTAGAAGTGCAGCCAGTTTTAGTTAAAATTTTCGTATTTGGTGTTCGGACATCACATTCTCTTTTCCCACAAGCAAGGAGAGTACTGGCCTGACATTGCAAAGGTGTGATATAGTCCAGATGTCAGCTTAAGCTACTGTATGTAAGAACAGCGCTTTCAGACTTGGGATAAGTGTCAGAATAAAGCTACATTTAAAAACTTCACAGTCTTAATTTGGAGGGGTAACATGCCTGTCAGAAGCTCGCAGCACACATTTCAGTGAGATTTTTTCCTCTCTGTGTCCAGGTGCTTTTTCCTGTCCACTAAAACCTGTGAAGTAAACTGTAGGGAACTGAATGCTGTATAGTCTTCCAGTGACAGTAAAAACTTAGTGCTTATAAATTTCTAGACTCTGTTGTACATAGAAAATCGTTACTTTGTTTTTCAAATGAAAATAACGTGATTGTTTTTCACAGGTTTTTATTGTGTGTTTTTATTTTTTCAGCTATATATAGATATGTTAGACATTGTAACACCTCTAGAAAAGATGGGCTCTGAAGACTTTCTCCCACGGTAAATATAACTACAGTCTGCTGGTTTATGTACTGTTCACATCTGAGACTCGGGCAGGCCCAGAAGATGTCTTTTAAAATTAGTTCAGTGCCCTTTGCTGGAGGGATAGGTTTGGGGTTGAGAATGTGTGTTCCATTGGAGCGTGGGAGGAACAGGAATTATAGGGGACTCGGTCTGATTTTCTCGGTTCATGTCAAAGTGCAGTTTGGCATCAATAATACTACCATGATAAATGGGAACTTATTAGTCTTCTGGTTTTGTCTCCTATGCCTGCATAGGGGAGATAGGTATGATGCCTTGAGGGCTTGTATTGGAGACTCTCTGTGCCAGAAGCTGCATGATTTGAATGTTTTCTTGGTGAGTATGTCTGACGCTGTTACACTTTTTGCAAATGGTTTGTCGGTACAGCTAACATCCACTGTCTTCAAAATAATGAGAGCAGCCCTGATGATGTGTGCCACTGCAGAATAAATGGTCCAAAATTGTAATGGGACTTGTCTGGTGTCTTCGTGGTTTTCACTTACCTTTCTGACTCTAAAAATGTAATTTTCTTCAGGTTGGCTGTGGAGCAATAGGCTGTGAAATGCTAAAAAACTTTGCACTTCTTGGTGTTGGTACTGGGCAAGACAAAGGATTGGTAAGTCACCTGTTAACCTCACTTTGCTTATAAAAAAATAATGTGACAAGGAATAATTAAATAATAAGACTACGTAAAAATGTTGAAAATCTAACCCTAAGCCTTATTTCAGGTTGATCTCTGTGCAGAGGGTAAAATGGTCTCAGCATAGAGTGGAAGTAGTGTGCAATTAGAAGCAGAACACACTTGGAGCAGTCTTGCTGTATTTTGATTTTAAAACAAAATTTAATCAGTCAGTAAAGGCAGAGCTGTTAGCCACAGTGGATGCCAACAGGAGTGCTTTATTTTGATAAGTTTCTGCAGAGATTTCATCAAGATTATTGCTCAGTGCTACACTTAAATTGTAACTTCAGCTGTTGCTTTCGTCCCTTCTGGCTTAGGTTACAATTACAGATCCAGACTTGATAGAGAAATCCAACCTGAACAGGCAATTTCTTTTTCGACCTCATCACATACAGGTAGGCTTTCTTGTTCAATAAACTTTCTGGACTATTGTTCTGTTTCCCTGTCCTATGTCCCCACCGAGAGCTGAACTTGTATGTACTTCTGTCCAGAAAAGACTTAAAGGCTGTCATGACATCCAATATCTTTTAAAACAATACCAATAACTATGTTGACATCCCACTTATCACTAGTATCAGTTGAGTAAAATTTGCTGGTCTGATCTTAATTTGTAGTGGTGTCTTTGACTAATGAAATCTCTCGAACTTGAGAATTGGGTGAGGAATGCTGTGTTGCATAAGAAGCTGCCATGCATTAATATGCCAGAAATGCTTTGCTATACCATTGAAATTTGGAGAGAATAAAACAGAACAACAAAAAACAGACAGCACTGGCAGAAGTGTTCTCAATAGAAGTGCTACTGCTAACGGAACTTCACCAAGGTTGCTATCTTCTGACTTAATTCAGTCTTCATTAAGCTGGTAAATAGCTTGGCAAAAAAACATTTACGTTCAGTAAATGCGAGATACAGAAACTGTTAATTCCTTAGAAGCAGAGAGAATATCCCTGTACTTGCAAACACAGCACAAAATAAAAAAAGATGGCTCAGATGTTGACAGCAATGAGGAAAAGGGATGCCTCTGCCCAAAACCTAGCAGCTGAATTTTTTGCCTCCTGTTTGTGTTTAGCAAATCTGGGCACAGATTACATTTTGGATGGATAGATAAATGGAGGGTGAACTCTGCAAGCTTTCAGAAGCCACACTGTCTTCTTGAGTTCCGCCGTTCTAAATGCTGACCTCTAGATAATTGAATGTTGTAGTATGGCTAGAAGTGTCAGGTAGGTTAAGAACTGTTACAGTTTAGCTTCTGAAATTGGCTTTGTGTGGAAGGCCTTGCAGTAATGGGATTATTCACAGGTGTTTGATGTCTATGCTGCAGAGACATAGTCGCAATAACTAATGGGTTTATCCTCTGACAGTCATGAACTGCTGCTTTCTTACGGCATTTTGAGAACATGAGAGGCAGCATGGGGCATCACAGTTACTCAGTACACTTCTGCACCATTTAATCATTTTCACCTTGTGGTCTCTGAGACACTACTTCAAATAAAGCTAAAACTGAAGATAGATTAAGACATTAGTGAGGGAGGTATACGAGTAAAGAATTTCCTTCATTATGTTTTGCATACTAACATTTCTGTCAGTGAATTGTTGTCTGATGAGCAAATGAAATCAATCGTTCTGTGTCCCAGATGTTCTTTATTTGAATATTGTTGAGATATATATATGTATTTATACTTTCAGAAACCTAAAAGCTATACTGCAGCAGAAGCAACTCTGAACATCAATCCTTACATAAAGATTGAGTCTTATATTAGTAAGGTTTGTCCAGCCACTGAGAACACTTACAGCGATGAATTCTATACCAAGCAAGATGTGATTGTGACTGCTTTGGACAATGTTGAGGCAAGGAGATACATTGATAGGTAGGTTGTGGAAAGGAAGCGAGGGCTGCTTTTCACGTTCTTGTGTGAACTCTGCTTTTCTATTCTTAATCTTCCTGATCTGCAACTGCTTATAAGATCTAATAGCAAATTGCGCAGATATATCTTGCTCCTTTGTAGGGATGCTGGCTGTGGGGAGGAAGGGGTTTATATTCGAGGTGGAAACTGACTGCTGTTGTGTGGGTGCTACTGTTCGCATGGCAGAGAGCCTTGGAGTCAGTTCTTGGAAATAAATAGCTGTCAAAGTCTGATGAGGGAGAGAATACTTTGGCAGTCTTAAGGTTGAATTATTTATGCATAAGAATATTTATTTAAATTAATAAGTAGAGATGTTTACATTTAAAAAAAATTACTAATGCTCCTAATCCAGGTAGGCTCAGGTTTATGGTAATCTGATCTAACTTGAAATAGCTCTTCTTATTTAATCCCTTTTTTTCCCCGAGTTTGATGTAAGCTTTCCACTCCTCTCAAAGTGCCTAGAGCCAATTCTGGTTACACCCCGGTGATGTCTGCAAGGCAAGAATGTAGTGATTACGCTGTGTTCTGATAGTCTGTGTCTTTCCATGTCAGTCGTTGTGTAGCAAACCTGCGTCCTCTTATAGACTCTGGAACTATGGGAACGAAAGGACACACGGAAGTTATTGTGCCCCATCTGACAGAGTCCTATAATAGCCACGTGAGTGTTTTAAGACCATCACTTACCTTCTGTAGCTAGTGCCATAATGTCCTCTGATTCTATAATCATTTATGTATCTGTCTAAAATAAGCAACCTATCGGAGTTGCTGAAGAACCGTACTATTAGGAAATAATTACTTCCTTGGTTTCTGCAGAAAGGCTCACAGGAAATAAAATTTGAGCAGACTGGAGATATCATGTCTGCTACCTAGCTGATGAGTACACCTAGGCCAATAATTAAAAGCAGCTACTGTATGAATCATGAAACACAAGGTCTGGAAAAAGTCCTAATTCTGAGGCATTTCTAAGGGACTGACTTCTTTTTTTTTTCTCCTTGACAATTCCCTTCTAAATAAGAATCTAGGCCCACAATGGCATTGCAAACTGGTTTTGTACTTTTGGGCTTCTTTCTTAGAACTGCTTTCTCCCTACTCGTTCTGTTCTTGGTGAATATCACATCCACAGGCAGGTAGGAGAAGCACAAGCCTCTGTAGTAGGAATTAGGCTGCCAGTTTCTACAAGCGTACATAACATGTATGTTTGAATGGGGAAGGGGGTATGAACCTTCAAACTCTTGCAGTATCCCTCTGTTCAAGTTCTTGTGAAACTGCCTTTACAAGGTAGAAATTCACTGGTTGAGAGCACCATGAAATGGTGCCGCATGGACACAGAGACAGGATTTTGAACATCTTAACGATCTTGCTAGGCTCCACAAAGAAAGAAGTCTTTCTGACCTTGAGTGAAAGGACGTATTTCATGTTAAGAGTGTATGTGAATGCAAACTGCACATCTTGGAAAAGCTGACTGGCAATTTCTTCTGTTGTTTGTGTTTCAGAGTTCAGTTTTGCTTTCCAGTACTGAGTTTAGACTGTTCTTCATAGACAGGAAGTGATATATTAAGTGTTAATAAAACAAATTTTGTTGTAAGCATAAATAAGCCACCTTGCATTTTGTGACAGTCAAGTTTTAAACCTATATAGTCTAGAAATTGATGCTATTATTAACAATAAACTTTAATAAGCCTGCATTTACACACAACTGTCCTTGATGACAGCGAGATCCACCAGAAGAAGAAATACCTTTTTGTACCTTGAAGTCTTTCCCAGCTGCCATCGAGCATACAATACAGTGGGCAAGAGATAAGGTAAGGGAGGAAGCTTACTGCTGTTCAGCACAGCTTAGTGTGTGTTTGGAAAGTGGAGGATCTGATATACTTCTTGCAAAATGATGTTTGTTCTTTTTATTTTCTAGTTTGAAAGTTCATTTTCTCACAAGCCTTCATTGTTTAACAAATTCTGGCAGACCTATCCATCCGCAGAAGAAGTTTTACAGGTATGAGGATGTTGCCAGGGTAAAATACAGGGTTTAAACTAATGCTTTATGGATTTGGTTTCTCTTTAAGTTCAGTGAGATTTGGGTTATTTTCTGACTTTATCTGGAAAACCTGAAGACTTATTTGGCCAAGTCATTAGTTGATCCTTCATGGGAACAGTATTTCTGGTGTGTCTTATCATTAAAAGCCAAAGTCTCACGTGTGGCCTGCTTCTCTCTGTAAGTCTATAATGGCCTATGGTCCATAGGGCTGGGTGGAAATAGATCAAGTAGACCACAGCACTTGGGGAAAAAGCCAGTGGAGAAGGTCACATAAAGGATAATATTTCACAAAGTGACCGTCTGTTTCCTTTTGCCTATAACTTAATAAAAACATATTTACTGTTTGACTGGATTGGGAGGAACCTTTTCTGGTTTAACATTTTTCTGTTTCCTTTTCTGTCTAGAGAATAAAATCAGGGGAGAGCTTAGAAGGCTGTTTTCATGTTATTAAAACACTCAGTAGAAGACCCCGAAGTTGGAGTCAGTGTGTGGAACTAGCAAGAGTAAAATTTGAGAAGTATTTTAGCCATAAGGTATGTAAGACCTGGAAATGAGGTGGTGCTAGACTGATGAGGATTTTAGAAAACTTGATAGCCTTAATAAGTAGGTGTCCAAGTCTTTGCACTCACTTCCATCTCTTCATAAATAACGAACTGTACTTGGAACTTAAAAATGCTTCATCTCTTCCTCTTTCTAATGCAGCACTTTAATCTGGTTTATTAACTCACTCTGAGTAGCTCTGTTCAGTAGTCTTCATGCAGTTTTGTTGGCATTTTTCCAGCTAAGTATTGTGTTTTTCCAGAGCAGCAGGATTATCAGGTGTCTTTTAGTAAAGAACAGTGACTTTCTGTTGCCCCCACTTAACTTTTGTTACTGAACTCATCTTCATATCCCTGATTTTCTCAAAGATGTCACAGAAGGGTTGACTGAAGTAAGAGCCGGTCATTCTGAGAATCTGGTTCACAGTCTTGCTTAAAGGGGGTGTGTGTATAATTTTGTAGGAAAGATGTGATCATGATGTTGTATATTAGCAAACAGACCATATCTGTGTGTCTGGAAGCCCTGGTGGTAGTTGTCACATTGAGACAACACTACATTCCCAATTGTGAATCAATATGCAAGAATCCTAAAGTGACAACAGGTAGGGGGATCGCTTTGCTTGTTGGATTAAGTGTCTTGCTTGGACTTTGGACAGCTGAGGTGACATTGTTATCTTTGCCCTGTGAATGAATGGGCAAGTCACTCTGTCTAGTAGTAAGCTCTCCATCTTGACAGAGGCGTCTTAGGGGTTTTTTTTTTAAACTCTTTAAATTACTTCAGCTATGTGTTGGAGTGTCTCAAAAGCCATATCAAGATTTCACATCATTACTAAAAAGAAAGCTTGATTTAGTGTAGTCATGTCAATGTGTATATGACAAATTACTAAAGCTACTCTGGCTTTTTCTCTAGGCTCTTCAGCTCCTTCATTCATTTCCCCTTGATACACGATTAAAAGATGGAAGTAAGTGCAAATGCCCTTTTGTGCGTGTTGTGAATTCATGGCATACCTCATGTGTTGCTGTTCCTAATTACTTAGGATTTCATTTTAAGTCTGTCTTCTTACCAGGTTTGTTTTGGCAGTCACCAAAGAGGCCACCTTTCCCAGTGAAGTTTGAATTTAATGATCCTTTGTAAGTATGGTACTGCCACTGATGTGTTTTATGGCATCCCCTAAAACATCCTACAGCAGAAAGTGCAAGGCAGTGGCTTTGTAGCAGTAGAAGTTGGACTGGTACTTGGTAGGCGCTAGTGCATAGCCTTGCGCTGTGGCAGATTTGGTGAGCTGTCTCATACTTTCACTGGAGGTAATTTAACTTTCACTGACATGGGATTGGAGGGTGCTGTGGGAAGTTCTGACAACATCTAATGCGAAATGGCTTAGAACAGCCAGTTTCATTTGTTGTGTTACTATAGAATTACTGAGTTGGTGCTGTTGTACCCCCTTGCCCACATCGGCCCACGTGATGAAATGCAGGATGTACCAAATTAAATTGACTACCTAGAACGACCTAGTGGAGAGACCCCTTTTCTTCATCACAATTTGGGTCTGATCTAGATGGTTTTGGGTATTACAGATAATTTTAAAAATTGATGTGGTTGAAGGATTGAAAAGCCTTGATCTGCTGCGTATCTACACCTGCTTTGAGAAACTGTCCGAATTGCCATTTTGAGTTTGGGTGAAAACTGAGATCATGGCAAATATCAAAGTATTTCTGAGGTGAAGCTTTTTATTATTGTATTGATGTCATCTGAGCGTTTGTAGTTATTTTCTTGACTGCAGAGGTTAAGGAAATAGGGTTTTCATTAAATAACTCTTCACTCATCAAAGTTTGCTTAGTTTTAGGAAGGACTTGTGAGTCCCTCAAAACCTGTCATCTGTTTTGTACTGCTGCAGGGTGGAAATTCTGTTTCTCTGTGTGTGTTTTCAAGATCTCTTTGAATATGATTACCAACCTTTGGGCAACTGAAGTAAAAAACCAACTAAACAAAAATAATTACCTTCCTCTTTTCTTCAGGCACTATGGTTTCATTGTGAGCGCAGCAAAACTCTTCGCAACAGTGTACTGTGTTCCTTTCACAGAAAAGGTAATCCATACTGTAACAGTGTTCCCATTGCATGACTTGGATGTACCTGTTCAGTTTTGGCCCCATGTACAGTTGCTAGTTCTTTCCAAGAGCTGATTAAAGTGATTCTTAAAGTAATCTGTCTTTCAGCGCTACTTACATTTAGTCGTCTTTGTTTAAATGCCTAACCTGGAGGAGAAATGGATAGTGTATTGGGTATTTTCAGTGGGCACTGAACTTGGGAATTCTTATTTTGATGGACCTGTTTCCTGTGCAGTATAGTAACTAAACTGAAAGAAGATCGCTTTAAGGCATTTTTTTTAATTAAGTGTCTTAGCTACGGTCTGGGAGTTTTATTTTTTACTACTCACAGCCTCTGTGTTGCTTATCCTTTGTTTTTATTGTTACCCTTTTTCTTTTCCAACTGGATCTTCCTGAAAGTCACCTTTACTCTTAAGTTCTGTTCACTTTTCAAGTGCTAGGCACTTCACGCCACTCTGGTTCACTGCGGCAACTGAAATGTCACTTGGTGTTTCAGTGATGATGTTTCACTGCAACATCATTGAATATTCATTTGTGGGATTTTTTGGTTTTGGTATTCTTTGAAATGCTACTGGATATACAGTCTCTTTGTGGGGACCTTTTTGAGCTGATGTGAATTTAAATTATTTTTCTTAATAACAGGATTTGTCAGAGGAAACTATTTTGAAGATTATTTCAGCTGTCAAGGTACCGGAGTTCAGACCTTCAAACAAAGTAAGTGTGATATTTAGTTTAAAGAAAAAAAAAATCCACAAGCAGTGTCCCACATCTCCAACTACTTCTTGCATCGATGCTGATGAGAAATAGACACAAATTAAATACGTTTTGGGGAAACATGAGTGTGGCATACAGGACTGCTTTAACTTGATGTAGCTAAGGTATCTATGTACCAGATGCTAAATGTAAGATGTGAGGGTTTTTTGCTTTTTCCAGATGATTTGTTGTAGCAACATTTTCCATACATGAGTGTGGTTGTAAATCTGCAAGCTTTTCTTAAGCTTATATGAGTCTATACTATTTTAATAAAAGTAGTAAAATTTTACTCTTAAGCAACTTTAAAGCAATCCAGAACTAGTGTCAATTTGTTATTTCTTTCTAGGTAATATAAAAGAAGTGTCATTACTTTTACGTTTATTTTTGAAGCATTAACTTCAAAACAGCTTAAGTGTCATTGTGCAGTGGCTAGCATTTGTCATCATTTAAAATTAGCAAATATTCCAGGGTATTTTCATATTTTCTTGCCCAGTGTTAACTCTTGTCTCATGAACGCTTGCCTTGTGAGACAAAACTGGTATTTTGACTCAGAATCACAGAATGGTTGAGGTTGGAAGGGACCTCTGGAGACCGCCTAGTCCGATCCCCTTGATCAAGTGGGAGCAGCTAGAGCAGGTCATCAAGGAATGTGTCCCATCGGGTTTTGAGGATGGAGACTCCACAGCCCCTCTCAGCTACCTGTGCCAGTGTTCAGCCATCCTCACAGTTTTGGTTGGGTTTTTTTGGTGGTTTTTTTGTGGTTTTGTTGTTGTTTTTTCTTTAAACTATTTTCATATGTTTCTAATGGGAATTTTATGTGCTTCAGTTTGTGCCTATACACCCTTCTCCTGTCACTGGGCACCGGTGAAAAGAGTCTGGCTCTGCCTTCTATACTTTCCCCCCATCAGGTATTTATTCCCCCCATCACATCGATAAGATCCCACGGAGCCTTCTCTCCTCCAGGCTGAACTGTCCCAGCTCTCTCAGCTTCTCCTCATATGAGAGATGCTCCAGTCCTTTAATGATCTTTATGGCCCTTGGCCGGACTTGCTCCAGTAAGTCTGTTTCTCTCTTGAACTGAGGAGGAAAGACTGCAGGCAAGACAGGAAGCCTAGCACGCTTCACACTTGTGCTGTACGAAGTTCGTGTATTTTATTACTCAAGCACTGCATGCACTTGCAGGTTGTACAGACTGATGAAACTGCAAGAAAACCAGATCATATTCCAGTCAGCAGTGAGGATGAAAGAAATGCTATTTTCCAGCTGGAGAAGTCGATACTATCCAATGAAGCTATGGAAAGTGAGTAGCTTAATTACATCTTGCAATTGCACTGCCAGTAGTATGACATTCAGGTCTCTGGATAAAGCAGTTCTGTAATTCTGCAAGACGCAGGTAGCTGATATCTAAAGCTTTCTGAAGTGCTGTGCAGGTAACTGTCCTTATTGCTTACCATTACCCTATGCTTCTGTATTTCTGAAATTCCTGCAAGTTTTAGGGTTCTCTCGTATTCTTGCATGTAAATACAACCCTGATGACAGTGAGCAGGCAGCAGGGAATTGACTTCAAAGGAGGGAAAGGGTGCTGGCTACATCCCAGGTGGACTGAAAGTGATTCTGGTACGAGAAGGTTGAGAGTTACTGCTTACAGGAATCAATCAGAAATTATCCTAAATTGTGAAGGCTGTTAAAGTCGTCTTCAGCATCTTTTAAATACGTTAAAATGAGGATGCTGGAATCTCATTTTTGTGCCTGGTCGCAATTGAGAGGGGCATTTCTGCTTCTAGCATGGGAAAGCAAGTTGTAAGTAAGGCACCAAGCTCCAGAATGTGAAATTTTTAATTTGTTAAGGAATTTGTTAAGGTTCTAGTTCCCTATAACTTACATTTAGGACATCCTCAGTTTTCTAATAATAATTTTTGCCTTTTTTTTTTTTATGAGTAGATGACTTGCAAATGAAGCCCATCTCCTTTGAAAAAGATGACGATAGTAACGGCCATATAGATTTCGTAACAGCAGCATCAAACTTGCGAGCCAAGATGTACAACATCGAACCAGCAGATCGGTTCAAAACAAAACGCATTGCTGGAAAGATTATTCCTGCAATTGCAACAGCTACTGCTGCAGTATCAGGACTGGTGAGCATGCTGCTTAAAATGCTTATTTCTTTCTCTTGCTGCTCCTTGCCTAAAACCACTATTGTGTGGATATTGATTAACACTACCCTGACAGAGCCTCGTTAAGGAAATGGGTTTATTTCAAACGTAATAAACTTTTTTTTCTCGTGTACCAATACAAAAGGTGGCTTTTGGTTCTAGATGTGGTAAGCTGTTGGTGCTTTTATTTCTGATTTGCTGACCAAAAAGAGGAGTGGGGGTCAGCACTTTGGTTTGTTTTCTGCAATTGATACTAACTTCCATCAGAGCGCCACTGCCAAGAGTGGAAAGGATCTGTTCTGTAGTAGTTCACATCCATGCACCTCAAGAGAACTGCATGCTTTGTGGAGGTTTCTTGAATTTAAAAATTTTGGAAGAGTCCTACAGTAGGAACACTTTTGAATGTTTTAAATATTTCCATTAACAGCAACAGAATTTATTTCTGTGGCATATTGGGTTGCATTTCCAGATGTGGTTTACTCTGCCAATTGGACAAAGGCTGATCTCATTAACAACTTACTCGGTAGTTGCTGGCCTCTGAACTAAACTAGCTTTGATAACACAGTACCTGAAACCTGTGTTTGGTCTCATGGAACTACGGGATTCTTATTTACTGCAGGTTGCACTGGAACTCATCAAAGTTGTGGGTGGTTACCCGGCTGAGGCATACAAGAACTGTTTTCTCAACCTAGCCATTCCCATAATGGTCTTTACAGAAACTGCGGAAGTAAGAAGAACAGAAATCAGGTAGGAAGGACAAGGGCAGAAGGGCGGTATTTGGAAACCTGTTAACTGACAGTTAGAACTTGGTGAGCCATTACAACAAGTGTGAAGTTTGTTCAGTTATTAAATCCAGATAACCAGGTTAAGGCCTTATGTGCTCGCATGGCAGAACTATGATGGAACCACAGTTCATGGTTGTACTCCAATTAAAGGTTATAGACGTTCAAGGTTATTTTTTTGTTGTTCTTTAAACTTGGAAGATCATGTATCACTTAGTGCTTGCAATCAAACTCTATTAGCCATTTACTATGTACTGCTAGAAGTGTAAGTGATATTCTTAGTACCACCAAGGGTGTCCCATAATGCATTGCTCAAGAGCTTCCTGTTTGGGAAATGCAGCATATACACTTCTGTCCTAATTTTAAAAATGGTGGTTTTAAGGGCTTAGTTTTATTTTCAGTGGAAGCTGTTGCTCGCGAGGCTTTAAAAATCTAGATGAGTTAGGTGTGCAACATGGTTATTAATGAACATCCTGTCTGCACAGACTGGACACGCTTCTGCGTCTTAGTCAATACACGAGCTATTTTACAGTAGGTCGGAAAACTCAGTAAGTTCATTGCCAGATACTGTGTTCACTCAGAGTTCTTACTGTGTCTTGTACTTAGCCAGGTCAAAGGGCTGGAGAAGTGGCAGCAGAGAGGGAAGAGAGTTTTGCTCAAGAGAAAACAGCAAGTTGCTAGGAGACTTAGCAGTCCTTCAATATATGTTTAAAGGATATGCCTGAGTTCACGTTCTAAAGTAACAAACAACCCTTCTCTCTTTAAAACAGAAACGGGATATCATTTACAATCTGGGACAGGTGGATAATTTATGGGAAAGAGGATTTTACTCTATTGGACTTCATAAATGCTGTCAGAGTAAGTTACCTGCTGTACTGGGTTAATACAAGATGAGAGGAAATGGTTTTCTTGTTTCGAGTTGTTGGTTTGGGGATTTTTGTGGTTTGGGGTTTTTTTTTTTCTTTTATAAAGTTATTGTTCAAACCAGAGTAATTCTAGAATTAATGTCAATGGGTATGTCTCTAAACACATGCAAGCCTATTTGCAAAGTCTTTGTTAATTTGATTGGCTCAAATGTGTCTTAAAACTTCTGTCAACATCCATTTGTTAGCAGGTTTTCTGGTTGGGATCCTATGGTTTTGAATAATTAGTTGTAGTAGTAGTAGTAGTATCTGCTGGCTTGTGCAGCTGTCCTAGTCCTTTAATAAGTTTTAATTTGTGAATTCCAGGAGAAATATGGAATTGAACCAACTATGGTTGTACAGGGAGTCAAAATGCTGTATGTTCCTGTGATGCCAGGTCACATTAAAAGATTAAAGCTGACGTAAGTATAACTGGAAAATGGATTGAGCGATGCGAGTGCACATACAAAATATGTTCACTGGTTATATCATAAGGACATGTGTCTCACAGCAGTGTTTTCTTTCAAAGTGGTTGCTAGTTGTTAATATTTGGGAAAGAAAGTAGGTAATGTCTTCCTTTTGAAAAAAAAAGAAAAAAGAGAAAGTAAATTAACTTCTGTGGTGAGGACAGGAGACTTGCAAAATGCTAATCTAACTGATATGAATGCCAGAATGAGAAACCCGAAGAAGTCTGACAGTAAGGGTTTTTTGGGAAAGAATGTACCTTGGTTCAAGCAGAACAAGACTAATCAAACCTTTTTAAACTGGCTTAAAATTAGTGGTAATATTTAGCAACTTAGCTCTGAAAGAATGAGAACACTTACTCGGGACGGAGCTAAAGTATTGGTTACAGATTGAGATTTCTGAAAAATCTGTTCAGTTCATAGTAATTCCTTGAGATTCTAGCTCACTTTAGCCCTTTTAAAAAGGAAACCATTCACAAGGCTTTACAGTGCTGCTCACTGACAGAAAATTGGGGTATAACAAACTGGAAGTTTGGGAGCGTGTGAGGGCAGGGCATTGGTTTTTGACTGATAGGCCTTTGCAGAGTAACAGCCAGATCTCCCCCAGGTTGAGTTCTACCTTACATCATGATTGAACTTCTTTAGCTCAAAGTTTGTTCCTCACAGCCCCTGCGAAGCATATGCTGGTCAGGGCTCACAGGCTTTGCTAGAGCAAGTAGATGCATCGACCAGTAGTGTTTTGAATGTCTGCCAGTAGGTGACATCAGGCAAAGGAGGAGTATATGTTAAGGGCAAGCTACTTCAAACTTCCAGGGAGAGAAGAGCCTCTAAGTTGTACTGCCTTTAGAGTGCCTGGCATACTACATGTGAATGTACAGCCTGTCTCAAAACAAGTTGTTTATATTCCTTCTCCTGCAGCTGTATAAATCATTTTGAATGAGTGTGGTGTGTAATGAAGTCGAAGGCATGGTGTAAAGCTGCCTTCTTGTGAATATCAGGATTTCTTATTACCCTGAGACTCGGTTCAAGCTTTCCATGTAGTTACAGCAACTTGGGGTTCAGTTACAAGCAGTCCCAAAAGCTTTATAAGATATTTGCACAGCAAACTCTGCTCTTGCTTGTGTGTTTGTTTTTTCTTAAGGTGTTTAAAATCTTTCTCTAACTGTAATATGACAAGTGTTGCAAGACTCTTGTCTTCATTTCAGAATTACAGCATTGACTGGTAGCATACTCCTTAAAAGCAAGTTTTAGAGGCGTAGTTATCTGCCTTCCTCTGTAGCTTGGGGCTTCCTCATACAAATAGCTATGACCTCAGTATCTCTGAGAAGAGGCTAATGCTTTGTGCTCTTGCAAGGGAACAAGTACTTTGGGGAAGGCAGCTTTTTGACCAGTGTGCTAAAGCATAGCGAGAAGTGGACTCTAAGTGACCTGTGAGGAATAGAAAAGAGTGACTGTATTCCCCCAGCCTCCTAGCATTTGAGCTGGCCTCATGAACTAGTGGTCCAAGTTGGCAAGAAAATAATTTTGAGACATCCAAAGATACGTAACGAAGTGAGGTTAGTTGGCCGCCTACTTCAGTGTTCTATTGCACAACTTCCAAGCAACAGCTATAGCTTTTGAGACTGTGGAGAGCAAAGGGGGGGAAGCTGCTCTAAAACGTGACACACTTACCTAGTTTAAACTCCTGTTGTGGTTACGGAGGAAGAAGTCCCAGATCCTGGCTGTTTTTCCCCCTCATTGCTATTCACCTTCCAAATTCCAGGACTTAAGTGTTAACACCAATAGAATTACTTTCCATCAGAACTGTGTATCTCGTGTCTGCACTGGAGTGGTTCTCCCTAATAATGTATTAAGACCAGCCATTATTGGTAGACCGAGAACTTGCTGCTCCTCCTTGACAGAAATCCTGCACAGAAAGCCAACTATGCCTTGTGCCTCAGTAGGAAAGAGAGATTGCGTCGGTGAGGAATCCCGTCTGAAACTGGCCATTTTCTCTTTTGTACTGAGCACTTGTTAGTGATCAGTGTAATAGCTCACTAATGGGCTAAGTCTATCAAGAAAATGGGATACCATTTGCTGTACCTCAGGTGGAGGAACAGCTTCTGTGTCAAAATTAAAAGGCGACTTATTCTCCATTTTAATCTGGTTTCTAGTATATTGGGCTTCATTGCCGGCAGTGAAATTCATCCTAGTCTGGTCCTGAATTCCCACTGCCAATCCTCCTTCTGGTACGTTAACAAACTGTTCTTCATTCCCTTGTAGGATGCAAAAGCTTGTGAAACCATCAGCTGATAAGAAGTATGTGGATTTGACAGTATCGTTTGCTCCAGAGACTGATGGAGAGGAAGACTTGCCAGGGCCACCAGTGAGATACTACTTTGTTCAGGAAGACAATTGATGGTAGAGACACAAAAGGCGCTCCTGGACCATTTGTTCTGAAAGGAGTGTGCTAATTTTCAGCTATTAAAGATGGTACTATATATTTCTTTTTGGTGAAGCCTTAATTAAAACAAATGGTGAAAATCAGTGGCTTTGTACTGAAGACAACTGGATTTATGTTTGGTCTGCTCCTGTTTTCTTCAAACTTGTTTGCTTCAAGGAAGATTGGTCACTCCCTGAGATGGAATGCCCAGTACAGTCCTTACCTTAAAGACAGGATTTGTATTGATTTGTGGGGAGCTGAAGAAAGCAAGAATAATGGTGAACGTAACAAATGGTCCCCATGTGCAAATTAGGCCCTGCTTAGAGAAGAGTGCAAAAAATGGGGCCACTGCCATTTTATGATACTCCTGGTGTTCTAAAAACATCGCAAATCCAATTCATATGTTACTTAATTCTCAAACAAGAATTTCATTCTCGCCATCCACACGTGAGATTTACTCCATCGGAAAGGTTTTAACTCCCACTTCAAAGCAGATGAACTGCTTTATTGTTTTGTCGGTGCTCTCTTCTGAACAGTTAGTGATGCTGTGTGTCAGAGCAGCTATCTTACGTCAGTCTCAACATGGAAACATAGGGCATAGGTGTAAATTGTCACAACTCCCCTGAAGTCAAGAGAGCTGGAATTGTTGATTATTTGCACTAAGGCTGTTCTTTGGGGAATACTGCAATATGGGGAAAGTGGAAACCTATCGGACAGCTGAGTTAACACTTTCAACTATAAAACTTTGCCTTCAAGAAAGAGATGATGTTTGGTGTGGTTGAGCCTTTCTGCCCTCACCAAATTAAAAACACTGTAGCGATTAACTTTGAAAGGCAGAAAAGGCAAATGGCTCTGGATGTTTGTCATAGCGAACGCTGTTTCCTCAGCTGCTCCTTTTGGTACCGTTTCCTTACAGCGGATGGTTATGCTGTACACTTGTCCGCAGCACAAGTCTGAGTTGCACTGAACACTGAGGATTTTATCATCATCAGTCAGTTACTAGGGTATCTATGTATAAAGAATCTGCTTAATTGGAAATAATTAGAGACTAGCTTTGCTACTGTGCTGAGGCAGAGGTGTGTTACAGAAACATCTGTGACACCACCTTCTTTTCTCTATCATTTAAACACTGGATAGTTAAGCTGGCAGTTCTTTTTCTCCCAGTGATGATAGAGTGAAGTGAAGTTAGAATAAAAAAACCTACTAACTGGAAAACCTTTTAATGTGTTAAAGCTTTAGAGAATGTGATTGCACATTATCTCCTGCAGCTGTTGCAAAAGCGATTGACTACTTAGCTATTTATTCTCGATCATAATTTATTAAGCTTTAGGGATACCTTGACATTTAATCAATGTTATTGGTCAGGACTTTTACCTCTTCTTTTTTCCCTTCTCGATTAGTTGTAGTTAGGAATAACAACTATTAGGCTGGGAACTTGAACACCAATATATATGGAACTGAATGGCTGGAATCAACATATTATTATTCCAATATTTGGGATTTAGTCTTAGATGCAGGATATCTTCTCGAAGGTGTATATAGTTTTACAGTCCAGTCTAGTTTATAGATATAGTTTTCTAGATTACTAATACTGCTTTTTAAACTACCTATCTTATTTCATTTTTTTTTAAAGAACTTCTTTTAGAGAAACTTTTTGAAACAGGAGAAAATATGACTATGTTTAGAGAAGACACAAGCAGACAGTAAGTTTCCACTTTTAAATAACAATGAAAATGTATTTCACTGTGGCAGTATTAGAATCTGAACTGTTAACTGAAATCACTAAGTAGTGCTAAGGATCACTTAAAAGGTTTAGGTCAAGTTGAAAGCACTGTCACCTCTCACAGTTGGAGACTAGGAAACAAATGAAACTAAGTACACTCTGGTACATTAGTGTGGTGTTAACATCATGCTTATGCTTTGGAAGTAAGAAGCATATAAACGTGGTAAAAGTCTCAATATTTTGCTAGAATGCCACCTGATGGTCCTCAGGGTTTAAAGTCAATTTTCAGATACAGTTAATGGAATGGCTTTTATTAACAACAACACATACAGTTTTGGGAGAGCCTTGCCAAAAAGTCCAGGTCGAGGTTGGCAGGGATTGCAGCCAGAGTTTACAGACATGGCTGGCTGTCTATGCTGCTCTTATTTTGTGTATCTGTTGGATGGATGTCTGTTCTATGGATGGGTTCTGCTCAGTTAGACAGTTGCTGATGGAAAAAATGAAAATGCACAATAGCTCTAGATACTTATTAGCAGATCTTTAAAATTTTCTGGATGTAAGTTACCTAGGTAAAATCTTACAAGTAATAACATCGAGAGGACTATATATGGAAGAGCTGTGCATGTCAAGTGGCGCATTAAAATTGTTTTTCATGTTTTAAACTTTTCTGAATTGCTGTTATGGAGAGTGAATGTATTTATATGGAAGGCTGTGCGGAGTGGAGTGAGCTGATTCAGTGTGAATTTGTGTTTCATACAGCTCATTTCTCAGTCTGTTGCTGCTTTTTATCAAAAGTCTCAGTGGGTGCTCAGCATGATCACACTAAAAGGGCTCAGTCAAACCGCGCAAGTGAATTTTGGGGTGCTGGTCTTCCAGATCTGCAGCATTGTCACTAGCAGTGCTAGCAGCGCAGAGGCTTGTAGCACTACCTGGAAACCTGGAATCTAAGAACTGCCTTTTTTTTTTTTTTCTTTCATGGTAATGAAAGCTCACGTGTATGTCTAGGACTGTTTGATGCTCTATTCCTGTGGAGCAGGTAGAGCTAGCCATCTCGCTGTAGCAATGAAGAACTTATCTTTCTAGTAGAACACCTTGAATAGCTTTCCTTCAAAATGTTCTTTGAAAGAGCAGTTGACTTGCAGAAATGAAGTTTTATATCGGTATTAAAGATCTTTCTCACTTAAATGCTTTCTTACAGAGTTTGCTCATATTTACACTAGCTTTCCCTTAATTTCTTGCATTCTTAATAGTTGCAGGAATAGTTGTGCATGCAAAACACAAGGCATTTAGCACCCAGCTCAACTGTTCTTTATGGTTAATCTCCGTGTTTCTTTAATGCTAGGAGTAGTGAGGATTCTATGTGAAGATCATGCTACTGTTAACAAGACTGTTTTGGCAGATCTGATGGATTTAGGACTTTACCTATACAAGGAGTAAAAAGTACATGCTTTCAGTTCCTCCCCCCCCACCTTTTCCCATGTAGGGTGAATATGTAAATATTTATTTTTTAAAAAAAAAAAGGCTCTATTGAAGAATAGTGACTACATAGAAAGAACAACTCTGGTACTAGCTGGGCTTCTGTGAATGCAGAAACCCTCATCACAGCATCTCACACCCTGAAGTAATGTGGGTTTCGAGCTATGCAGAGAGTTTGTGTATCTGTCTGACTTGTATCAAATGTAAGTAAAGGCTTTAGATAAGTTCATGTTTTCAATTTTTCCGTGTGTCTTTGAAACAATGTGGCTGTAGGCCAGTCGTTTGAAGAAAGGAACTGAATTTCAGCCAAATGCAACTGGCTTATTAGTTTGAAAGGTTTATCAATCGCTGTTAATTATCTCCTGTTTTGCAATTACAGAAAGCATACTCTGCTGCAGCACAGTGCAGCAATCTAAACCTTTGTCCAAAGGTTGGTAAGTTTTTGACCAGATAGCTTTTGAGAGTTTATTTTAGTAAACGTGTCTTTTGGTATCTCTTGTGTGGTTGATGAAGTAGCTAGCGTGAGTGTTTATCCATGCTGCAGAAAGCTTATTGAGGCTCACACTTAAAGGTTTCATGGGTTACACCATTGATAACACCAGCAGAACTGTCTTGCTAGTAAGTGAATCCTTTTGCATGGCAAAAGTGAGATACAGTGAAGGAGTATTAAGTTCCCACTTCTCACAGCAACACACAAGTTTCACTTTCATACTGAGGAAAAGCTGCAACTCTAACCTGATGTGTACTGAGCAGCACTATCTTCACAAAGCGATCTTAAGTATTTTCATGAAAAGAAAGTGCTAACGTCTCATGTTATGTTGTACTTCTATAAATACAGTGGGTGCACCTTCAGATGGTCACACATAATCTATTATTTAGAAACTTATGGGCATTCTTTTAAAATAACCTTCGCAAGCCTTGGCTGACTTCCATAATCCTTGAAACAAGTAGTAATTCATTTGTGATTCCCAGCGGATATCAAAGACACATGATGATAATCAGTCTTGGTCTGGAAATAAGAGCAACTCTACCTAGAGCACTCCCTGTGCGTGTAGTGAAGGCGCTAGCTGCTTCGGTACCTGCATTATCGCTGCCTTCAGCTGAGCTCTGCTCTGTGAATGCTGCCCCACCACTGTCAGAGAAGAGTTGTGGTTTATTTGGTTGGGGTGTTTTTTAAAGAAAAAAGCCAGGTTGTGGAGCTCATCGTCAACACTAACTATGAAGGAGTGTAGCTCAGCAGTGGGTACCCATCCTGTAAGCATTTTATTCAGTCCAGCTGCCTGGCAGAACTTCGAGGCTAAAAATACTAAACTTAGATCTTACTGCTGATCACTGAAGCTGCTTGTTTTGATGGCTAGATCTCCAGTTTCCAAGAAGGTGGATGCTGTGCCTAGGGCTCGGTGGGGTTTCACAACTGTTTGGTATGATCAGCAGGGCTCTCACATGCCCTGCTGTCTTCCTTTGTTACTAGCTGTGCAGTCTTGTCCTCCTTGTGCACTCCCAGGGGCTTGTCTCAGCCCTTGGAGAAGGTAGTTCAGAGCATTTAACCAGCAGGGACACTTACTTAGTTTTGTGTAGTTTCCTGAAGTCGCCCACAGCAGGGTCTGATGAACACTCCTGCTGGCTTGTAGAAGGGGTGGGAATGTTCAGCTGGGGAGGAGATGTTTCAGTTTGCTTGAATTTGATGCCCACCCTCAGCTGCGTAACCGTAGAAATGCCCCAGCCGCCTTACTTGTGGTGTTCCAGGTCCTGTAAGGGTTGCATGACCTTGCAGAGAACCAGGAACCCTCAGTTTAAGCTACCCAGACTTGTATTATCAGCTTTTTGGGCTACATTGCACCTCTCTGGCGGTGCTCAAAGGCCCAGCAGAGGTGAAGCATCCCCGCTGTCTCTGTAGGATGTCATAAATGGCACTGATAGCAATACAAGTGGATAGACAAGAAATGGGGTTTTTAACACAAAGGGTTTATTGCACTGTGAGCCAGTGACAGAACTGAGCCCACAAACACCGTCTGCCTAATTTCAACAGAATTTTTCTATCATGTTTTGCAGAGACAATGGGTCCTCTTTTTCCCACTCTTGCCTTTTCTTTGTTTTCCACATTTAATCTTCTACAGGAATTGGGGTTATTTGCTCTCCCCAAATCTCAGAAGTTACTGTGGGAGAAGCTACTTCACATTCTTGGTTTAGGGCCAACAGATCTATTCTAGAAATTGAGAAAGAGTAGCTTGGGGAATGTCTTCTGGTTATCTTCAACATGGTGGGGTTCCTGCACTGCTTCTTATGCCTCCTTCTTTTGGCACCGTTCCTTCAGCAACCGGCTTGCTTTGAGAACTCAGAGTCCTCTGTGGCACGCGTCTGTATGACAAACGGCTTCAGGTTCCCTCGGGTTTGGGTCACAAAGTAATTGACAACATCCTGAAGGCTTGGGAGTGTCACCTGTTTCACCAAAACAAACCCAAACAAACAAAAAAAAAAACCCTCACCAAATAAAACATGCTATGTGTGTTGAGAATGCATTTTCAAAAACATGCTGGCAGGCTGGGATACCTAGCCATGGTTCTCAAACAACTGCTACTGGACTTAACATCCAGCATTTGGATGCAGCGAGGTCTAGTACAGCTCTCTGCAATCTGTGGTAACATTTTCACCCTGGCACATGTAACTCCTTCCCCTCCATCAAATGAATGAATGAACCAAAAGAGAGATGGTTCTCTGCACCGTGGTGCTCTTCAGTGACTGCTGGTGCTCTTTCGGCAGAGGGTGTAACAGCAGATGCTTTTTCAAACCAATAGGATGTTTCTCAGGCCATGAGTTAATCGTGTCTTAAGAAAAGTGGAAGAAAACTGTTTTAAGCCAAATAACAGGGTCCATACAGCCTTGCTCGCACTTCAACTAAGTTGTTTCTCAAAGTTACATGGAGTGCGTTTTGAAATTCCTCTAGCTGCAATGAGAGCTCAATTTTCAGACAGTACTGAAGCCTGAGTTGGAAAAAAACCCTAAGCTATCTTGAGTGTTTTGTGGGTGGTTTGATTTTATTTTTGTTAGAAGATGCTGATCTGGGTTTTTTTTCCCTGTGTTTCTCGTTCTTAAAAGATATCTTGTTCTTTGAGATTAGGCTAGTTGGACTAATAAGAGAGGTGAACTCTCCACATACTTTACTTTGACTCAGAAATTATAGTTAGGAATTTACTAGGGCTTTTCTAATTTTCTGCAAAGTGACCTTACACCTGCTTAAGAATCTTCAACAAGGCAATGGCTCACTTACCTGTGTTTCCAATTCGATAATGTAACTTGTTCCTTTGGACCTCACTTTGTAGTGCTTTAAGTGGGCACTGAAAGAAAATCAAAATTGATACACTGCCCAAAATGAAATACTTTTTGATGTATCATTGTCATTATAAACTACTTTGCAGGAGCAATGGGTGTGCTTTGTAATATCCCCAGAGCTTATTGAAGGTGTGTGGCAGGGTTTGTTTCTTCCTATTTTAGTTTAGAAACCCAGAGAATTGCAAATGTCATTCCTGATGTCTCAGATGCCTGTTATTCTGAAGCTTTGTAAAAGCTAAAACGTGGCCAGTCAGTTGAAGTGTGTGTTACTGTTTGAAAATACTTGTGTCTCATTTTTCATTGTTCATTTTACAAAGGGGTATGGCTTGTTCTGTTTTCATTCTGCGTGGTGATTTCTTAAACTGAGTAGGTTTTCATGGCAAACAGGAGATTTGGCTGATCTTTATTGCTTCTTTGTTTGATCTAACTAGCTTTGGAGGAGGAGAGAACCAGGTCTCAGGCCTGCCCCTGCTGCCTCATTTGCCTTTCTCAACCTGAAGGCAAGGCTTATGTTTCACGCATCAGCTCTGGGTGATTCAGCTTTTAATACAGTGCATGCTAGTTAAGAATGGGATAATATATTGTGGAAGCAACCTACTCCAGTTCACGTCGGATAGTGATTGCGTAGTTCTTGCTGTCACTGCCGGGACGCAAGATCAAATTCCCACATGAAGGGTTCTTTTCTAACATCTCCATTGCTTCTCTCCGAGATACTGCATAGAAGCACCTGCATGGAAGGGAGGAGAGGAACCGCATAAATGTGACTTACGCTGGCAAGGCCACATCATTCCGAGCCGCATGAAGAGGCAGGGTCTACTGGGCTAACACCTCTTCACAATGCTAGGCTTACCCAGGGTAACTAGCCATGGCTGCTAAGAGGCATGACACCTGAAGGACTCTTGCTGGTTAACCCTACTTCTAGGAGCACAATTCAGGACAGCAGTGCTTTGGCCTTCTCGGAGAGCAAGTGAAGCTTTTGTACAAGTGTGACGCTTTCTGGACCCTTGGAAAGAATGTGAGAAGAGTAACCTGGACTTACCTGGAATTTCTCAGTGGTAATCAGCATTTTCTCAGAAGGGCAGATAGAGCAGCCCAACCTGTGGCTTTCTGAAAAGTTTTTTAAGCATAGCAATACGCTGCACTCAGCCTTTTCTAAACAAAAAGCACTGTAGGAAAGCTGCAGGAGTAAACTTTCCCTTAGGAAATCCCTATTTTGTTCACTAAATATTATACAGCCTTTGTCCAACAGCTGAATGTTGAACCTCTGCATGGAAATAATACTTTTGACAGAAGAAGGGAAGGCTCTTTAGTTAGACTGGGGTTCACATAGTTCAGTCAGAGCTTACGCTGGCATAGTGGTCAGTGTACTGCTGGGAGGGCTTTTTCTGTTCAAGGATGTGCTGGAACACTTGTTAAGTGTAATCCTTCTTTTCTTTTCCTTCTCTAGCACTTGCTGCAGTCTTGTAAGTTGCTCAGGTAGTAACGACTCATCTGGTGGAACTGACAGCTGAAAATCAACAGTGTAATTGAAAAGAAAATGAAAAGAGTGGACAAACATTGTGAGCAATCATTTCTGTGTGTGCATCATAGCTAATCTCTGAGCACAGCTGCTGTGCAGACATCTTTCTTACCTGCTTGGCTAAGCAGGTGGAATAATTTGGAATTTGGGTATGCCTCTGCTTTGAATAAAACACTGCACATGTGTTTTTGTTAGAATAGTGAAAGAAGGATATCCGTGTCCTGATTTAGAAGAAATGTGCATTGACAGAAGTGAGAATGATGTAAGAATCCACATCAATATTTTGCAGTTGCTGTACTGCAAAAGGCTGTGTAAATGTAACTTAAACTATTTCAGCCATTCTCATTTCAGCTTTTTAAGTGAGTCAGCTTGGCCAATGTGAACAAACTTCATTTATTTTTCCACTGGTCATTATCAAAGAGGGTCTTGCTATTTTTCAAAGCACATTTAGCTAAGAAGAATAGTAGAATAAAACACAGGGCTGAGGGGTTCTCTCAGGTGTACAGTTTGGCCACTTGTTTGGTTAGGTCTGTATGCCATGATAAAGGCCCTAGAGCGTTGTCTCTTTCAGAGCAGGCTCCCTTTTTCACAGCTGCAGGGGATGGACTTGTGCTAGAAGTCTTTTCTTTCCCGGACAGCAAATGGGGCTTGGGAACTGTGCCTGACTAGATACTGTGGCAGAGTGTGTATTGCAGATGAGCTGGCATTAAATCAGCCTGAATTTTGCTCTCCTCAGGAAAAAAAACAACCAAACAAAAAAATCCCAACCAAACCAACAAAACCCTCAACCGTTTAATGTGTGCAAACACATTAGAAGCAAGGCTTTGTGCCTGTGGAAGCCAACTTCTGGCATGCATGAAGACAAAACCCCCTTATAGACACTTTTGCCATGAAGTGAGATACAAAACTCTTCCGTACCTTTGTTACGGTGAGAATAAAACCCTTCCATTCTTTCCCACATTCATAGTCATTAGCCTGAGAGAACAGAAAATGATGGTGTAAGAACAGCTACAGTAACAACAAAAAAAGTGTATTTCATGTGGAAGCCTCCAGTAACACCTCTCACCCTTTCCGAAGTACCATGCCTAGAAATGATGAGCTCCCTGCCCAGCTACATCACACCAAGAAACCCTTCACTTCCCCAGTACTCCGTGTTCAATTAGAGGGAGAGCGCAGAGGTGGGAAGGTAAAAAAATCATATGCTCTGTTGGAGTAAAAGGAGAAGGTTATGTGGATCCAAGGAGAAGGCCATGCTAAGGAGACAGGTGAGTCTCAAGTATAAAACCTCCTAGATAGTCCCTGAGCACTACAGTCTGTATATGGCTTCTGAGTGGTGGGGTGGTCAGGTATTTTATCCCCTTGGTTTTACAGGTGACATGGGCCTGTCAGGGTGGTATTTCCTGGTTTCTCTTGTATATTTTCTTGTTCAGTTCTCTGCTTGTTTCATATTCCCAGATACACCTGAGAAAAACTTCCAGTGCTTTGAGGGGGAGTTTTCTGGGTGTTGGGTTCCTTTGCCCTGCCTCCCTCTTTGACTGCCTTTTGGTGCTGCCTGGCTGCAGGCTGTATGCTTACATGTCAAGAAGGCAGCTCTGCTCCCACACCAAAATGGAGCTCTGAATACCTGTGGGAGATGGAGTACCAAGTAGCTTACAAATCGCAGCTTTCCTCTTTTTACCTTCAGTTCTAGTTCCCCATTTGACAGCATCAGGATGAACTGTGCAGAGCCGTTTTCATCTGGATAAACACTGGTCGCTGAGGTCAAAGCTGATATATCTAATTTATGTGAATACTAAGGACGGGGAAAAAGAGAAATAGTACAAGTTGTAATTTTCACCAAAAATCTAGCAGCTCTCCAAAGGAATGTTTAGAAGAAATTAGATTGAAACTTTTTTTTCCCAGAACTTGGGTTGTTTAACTGACAGAGGTGCCAAAGCTTAGTCCTTTGCTTCTGCTTACAGAAGCTCTTCTCATCAACAATGTACCTTCTGGATTTTTCCCAACCTAATCTTCATGATCACAAACAGATTAAATTCAGGAGACGTCCCTGAGTATTTGCTTTGTGACTCCAACTAAACCCTCAGCCAGAGTATACCATAATAATACCAAGCACTTTTTCCTCAGCTGCATAAAGGGAAGTCATGTTACAAACCACAGTAATTTTACCCTTGTGTGCAGCTGAGGAAAAAGCACTTGGTAAACTTATGGAGCAATGTGGATACATTTGTAGCGCAGGTGCCAAAAAAATACTTTTTTGTTTTGATGAGGCAAGTTAATGTGCCCTAGTTGGTCTCACTGGCTTTTTTTGATCTCAGCCTTGCTGTTACAATGTTCAGTACTACTTTTTTTGACTATGCAGATGAGAGAAGAAAGGGTACCGAGAGGTGTCTGGAGTACGTAAGGATTACTTGATGAAAATTACTGATGAACTTGACCAGATGGGTGGTTTAAAAGGTAGCACGTTACTCACTGTTGGGGCTCTCTTATCACCATAAAAGAAGAGCGTAGTTCCTCTGAGTTCTGTCCAATACACTCTAAATTCCTGTTGGAAAGGAGGAAGTGTCTGTTTGTGAAGATGATCTTTTTGGTTCCTACAAAATGCTGAAAGTGAAAGAACTGCTAAGAAAAAAATGTGTTGTCATATGTTAGTTTTCAGTGTTTTAAAGATCATTAAAGAGCAAGTATGTATTTTGCAGGCAGTTTATGCAAAAAAGTTCAGTAGATAATGCTTTATAGGCAAAAAGATATATAGGCTCTAGGCTTTGTTTTCTAGTATCCTAATTCAGCATAGAACTGGAAAACTTTACATTCAACTAATTTCAATGCTTTAAACATTTGCCAGCAATTTGTCAAACGATTTAAAGGGCATATGTAATGTAAGGAAATATATTTTAAATGCCACTTTAAAATCTTGCTCTCCCTAAAAGGCATACAAGTGGAAAATAGTGTAAGATGAACATGTGTAAAGTCTCCAGTCTTCTGAACACCATTCTCTTGAAGTGCCTATTTGCATTGAATTTTGATCCTGTGTTTGCTTGCTATAGGGAGAAGATCATGGAGCTTGGCGGTAGTCTGACCTATTAACTGGACTTCCTGCATTTGAAGTGGTATTTTACATGCTTTGTTTTTAAATTATGCGTAGTAGTGTTCTCAAATCAACACCAAGGTAAATATGATTGTCTGACTCTTCTAACTGTTCCCTAATGCAGTCATGCCAGAGTGGTGGGAAAGGTTTTTCTGTTTTCATGTGCCCCTGATACCCTGAGAACTATAGCTGTTATGGAACACTGAATTAGGAAGGCAACTTCTGTAAAACAGAAACTCTGATCTAGTTTTCAGTTTACTTACCTGTTCTGGGTTGGTTTGGTTTGGGTTTTTTTTTTGTTGTGGTGGGTTGTTTGTTTGTTTGTTTTATTGAGGTGGGGGTTTAAAACATAGTCACAAAAAGTGAGAAAAGAAGTGAAGTCTGATAGGTCATACAAATTAGGGTGAGCAACATTCCCTAGAGTATCCTGCAGGTGATCCTTGGTCTTTACCCTGCTCACTCCTAACTAGTCTTTCTGATGGGTTCTGTCAAATTACTAGTCTAAAATTTCTACAGCATTCAGCCTCTGGACCCCAACCTCTGAGCACTGCAGTGTTGCGTTAAGGTAAATGTCCTCGTTAAACCATCTGTTCCTGGCAAAGTTAATGAAGGCTGTGAATGCTTGCTGTGGTATGGGGCTGGATGTCACAGGAAATTTTTGAACTGTACCTTGTGAACTGGGCTTCCTGCTCCATGGAAATGCAGTAATAGTAGCTGTCCAGGAGCACTTGTTACTGTTTCATAGCCATGAGTATGTTTCTCTCAAAAGTTGTAATACACCTCATCAGTCTCATGTGTCTCATGTCAGTCTCTTCAGATCGGCTGCATATTATTGCTCTGCCCTGTTAGTTTTTATTATTCCAGTATGGTAGTTACTGAATTTCAGAAGGGAGGGAAAAAAGGTTTTACATAAAAGGACATAAATAAAGGAATGTAACAGGGAGCTTTATTAAACTTGCAGGTGTTCTCCTGCTGGATACAACAAAGCAATGCGTTGAATAATTTCTAGTGCTGCAGAAGAATTAATAGTAAGATTACTGGTTTCCTTTTTGTTTCTTGGAGTTCCTGTTTTCTGTGGTACCTGGTTGTTCCTGTGTTTGTGAACCACCATGCTCTTTTGGTCTTTTTATTATATCTACCTTTAGCACTGCATGACTCATTTTCTCTACTCTGTGCTTCTGCATCTACAAAGATGTGAGTGTAGGTAGAGTAAAAATTACTTTGTAACCCTAAGTACAGGGATTGTTGTTATCAAGCTCTAAAAAAGGGCAATCAGCTTGATTAGGGACATGCTCTGAACATACATGCTTTTGTAAAAACACAAGCATGTATGTGTTTACAGATTTGTGTCTTAAATAGTTATCCTGGGTCCAAAAAAAAAAAAAAAAAAAAAAAAATTCACTCTTTTCCCAGATAGTCCACATATGTTAAATCATCAGCCCTTACTAACAAGAAAAAGAAAAAGATGCAGAGAATCTCACATATACTTCAGGTGGCGTGTCACTGAAGACTTCAGGATGGATACTTTTCTCCAGTAAATAGAGGATGTGTCAGAGCAATATAACCATGTCAAACTTTGCTCTTGGTATTAAAAATATTGCATTAGCTTTTCACTATGGTGGTAGCTATAAAATCAGTCAAACTCAATTCACATTTCAGTAGGTAATAGTAAATTATAATGGGATCCTGGAGATATTGATGGTTACCTCACATAATTTATTTTACTTCTCACCCCAAGTAATATCAACAGAAATAACTAGATATCATTATTTCAGCGCAACCATTTGTGTCTGACAGTGCTGAGAAACGTTTCGCCCCACAGACCTGTAGCTCCCAGCAATACAGTTTTGAAGGAATATTTCAACACATCCACTTCCCGGGACTGTGTACCTTACCTGGCATCTTGAGTGCCGGACAGACAGGTAACCTTGGAAGTACAAAGGCAGACTGGTGAGCCTCTGCCTCTCCTGGAAGATTCGCCGGGGGGCTGGCTGAGGAGTTTCCTCAGGCTGTTCGCTAATGGGTCTCAGCATCCTTTGGATATCTCAGCAGGATATCTGGATATCCTCTGTTGCTGTACTCTTCTTTTCCCCCTACTCCCGTTGTTCTCGGTCTGCTCTGTATCAGCCTCAGCCAGAGAACTCGCCCCGGTGAGAGGGGGAGAAGAGCAGCACCTCGAAGAGGAAGTCTCCGTGCTCACTTTTAGGTCAGCACACGCTGCTGACTCTTTGCGTGGTGTATGATCATGGGGGGAACCAGACTGAATGGATTAAAGGGATCTTTTCCTTTAGAGTGTGCTCCTCCCGTTTGCTCAAGGGGAGACATTCGCATGATGAGTGTGCTGGTACAAAAGTGCGTCATTACTGTGACCTCTGTCACTTGGAGATCATGGTGGAAAAGTTTGCTTTTTATGGCTTGCAGCGCTGGACTCTTCATGGGCTGCTGCCAAGGGGAAGACTGCTCTCAGCTGCCTCTGAAATATTTGAATTTTTCATTGGGAGTGTGGATTAACTTTGAGACTATCAGAGTTAAACTTTCTTTAGCAAATGGCTAGGGGGATTACAAGACACCAAAAGTAATATTGGAAATAAATCTACCTATGGTTGTTTATAACTGACAAGGATAAATCAACTTCACAACGTGCACGTAGGAAGAAGACTTTCATTGTGAAAGAGCTAATATATCAAAGCCTTTAAAGAAATTGTGAAGGGAGAGGGTAGTTCAGGATTGAAGTCTTGGTCCTGATGAAATGAGGAATGAAATTTCCATCAATTTCACAGAACTATGATGTTTAACTTAGTTTCTGGCCTCCTTCTTAGCAATCAGAAAGAATAGGGATGACAAGACTTGGTGTTTTGATGCTGGTTGCTACTAAATGCAAAGCAAACCTTATTTAAAGAGAAGAAAAAAAGGCTTGTTTTTTGTTGAACATCTTCGTGGTCTTTTCTGTTTCTCAGCTGTGCGTAGCTGCAAGATGAGCACATAATTAGCCAGCAAGGTGATCTACGATGGATCAGGTAGCTGCCAACCAACTCTAGCAGAAGAGGGGTTCAGCTCTGTGTGTGAAAGTAAATTCTGCATGTCACCTCTAAAAGGACAGGCACGTGTTCTCAGATTTTGGCTAAATTGCAGATTTTTGTACATGTTCGCTATTGTTTGTATTTAAATGGCAGAATTCGACTTTGATGGTGAATGGTGCAGAAAAGCTAACGAACAGGAGTACCTGCACCTTTGTTTGGCAAGGCTGATGATTACAAGCCAGAACTTAGTCCACTGTTTGCCAGCGTGTGATAAAAAGTGTCATTTAAAATGGTAATTTTGGGCTGTCTTTGGCTGATATTGTAAGATACTGTGGCATTATAGTCTCAAGCAGTTGCTTTCACCCATTGTTGAGTTCTTCACTTATGTTTTAAAGAAAAAAATTGCAACGCCCTGTGGTGCCCGCGGATGTT